TAACAAATTTCAATATAAAATAATACCTACTGCAATGATCAGGAAAAAATTTAAAAATAAAGGCATTAGAAGGAAGTCTTAGTATTTTCTCCACTTTAGCAATTGACCAGAGCCACATGTCTAGGTCTCTGCATGCAAAGCATTATTCAAACTCTTGCCAATGCAGAAACAGTTGCAATACCTGAGGAATGGACTTTCATTCTCTAATTCCAAGGTCCAGTTTATTTAGATTCTGATTTCTTAACAAAAATCAAATTCTTTCAGTGTACTTCTAGTCCCTCTTTCCCAGCCACTTTTTAATGTCTTGGCCAATTTGAGAGCAAGGTGGAAGTTAAAGAGGGTTCCTGGATGTCACTGGTGAATGAGTGGCTGGAATATTTCATACCCTGAGAAGGCTGGAGTTAGGGCTCGGAAGTGGTTTTAGGCACAAGCAAATCCAAGCAGGCGAGAACAACAGGTCATCAAGGTCTGCAAATCCAGCTGCTTATGGAAACAATTTGTTTTTCCAAACACTCATTGTTCTCATCTCTCAAATCAAGCTGGCAGCCAGTTGCAAGTGGTGTCCCCCAGGGCTCAGTTTTGGGTCCGGTCTTGTTTAACATCTTTGTCAATGATCTGGATGAGGGAATTGAGTGCTGCCTCTGTAAGTCTGCAGATGACACCAAGCTGGGCGGGAGCGTCGATCTGCTTGAGGGTAGGAAGGCTCTGCAGAGGGATCTGGACAGGCTGGATCGATGGGCTGAGGCCAACTGTATGAGGTTCAACAAGGCCAAATGACAGGTCCTGCACTCAGGTCACAGCAATCCCATGCAACGCTACAGGCTTGGGGAAGAGTGGCTGGGAAGCTGCCAAACTGAAAGGGTCTTGGTGTGTTGGTCAACAGCCGGCTGAACATGAGCCAGCAGTGTGCCCAGGTGGCCAAGAAGGCCAACGGCCTTCTGGCTTGTGTCAGGAATAGTGTGGCCAGCAGGCATAGGGCAGTGATCATTCCCCTGTATTCGGCACTGGTGAGGCCACTCCTGGAGTATTGGGTTCAGTTTTGGGCCCCTGACTGCAAGAAGGACATTGAGTTGTTGGAGCATTTCCAGAGAAGGGCAACAAAGCTGTTGAGGCGTCTAGAGAACAAGTCTTAGGAGGAGCGGCTGAAGGAACTGAGGCTGTTTAGTCTGAGTAACTAGCGATAGGATGAGAGGCAATGGCCTCATGTTGTGTCAGGGGAGGTTTATATGGGATATCAGGAAAAATTTCTTTACTGAAAGAGTGGTCAGGCATTGGAACAGGCTTCCCAGGGAGGTGGTTGAGTTACTGTCCCTGGAGGTGTTCAAAAAAGGTGTAGATGTGGCACTTCAGGACATGGTTTAGTAGGCATGGTGGTGTTGGGTGGATGGTTGGACTTGATGATCTTAGAGGTCTTTTCCAACCTATGATTCTATGATTCATTCTGCATTACTTCACAAACTTATTTTAATTTTTGCTCAGATGGTACTTGTTTATTTTCTGTTCACACAAGAGCCTTCTTGACCCTTGCAGCCCACATCTTCTGTTTTCCTGTTTCTTGCTCTCATTTTAGATATGTTCACACATCCTGCAATGCTGAACATCATCCATGGGCCAGTGAAGTTTGCAATATAACTTACATTTGTAAATCCTTCTCACAATGTTTTCTTATTGACTGTGTGATACATGAGAATGATTTGAGCTTGTCACCCTTTTGTATGTGGATATTCTTCAGATGACCTGGAGAATTCAAAGGATGAACAGTATATGCATTATTCTCAAGGAAAAAATTACCAGATCAGACAGCTTTACCATGGCATTTTACTGTTTGGTAATAAGACAAGATTTATGAATCAAAAAATGTCTTACAGCAAGCAGCATGTAAAAAAATGGAATCATAACAGTCAGTATCTGTTTCTTTGAGATTAGCAGGACTGTCCAGTATTTCATAGCTCAGAATGAAGGAAAGATGTGTATAGATCTACTTTTCAGACTTCTTTGCGGCCCAGGAATAAAACACGCTGCCTTCATACAATAATCTGGTCAAATATATGGTTGCTCTGTGCAGCCAAGTCCACTGCCTTTAAGTCATAGCTACATAATTACTCTAAGCCCTATTCTTGCTGTATCTTCTTTAACAAGTCTTCAATTTCTTGAAGATCCTCCCCTCCCACAGCAATTTCATTTACTTAGTAAATTACCTATCTTCACTTCACACCAGGCTGAGAACCTTGGCTTTGCTACAGATTGGATACACTCTTCAAATACCTTTAGTGAGTCAAACACTACAGCAAATGTCTGGGTTCCACCGCTAACAAGATACACCCACGGGCTGTATGAAATACAGTCATATTCAGCTTCCTGGTTCCTCACTCCTTGTTCAGAGAAAATTTCCAGCTACTGCACTTACCAAGTGTTCCAAGTGTGAATAAAGGTTAGAAACACGTGTTCCTGAGCCTGCAGGCAGACTGTGAAAATGGTGGAGAAAGGTGCAGCTTGCATCTCCTGCTAGCCTCGCTGGCAGGTCAGCTATAAACACCCGTTAAGTATCTGCTTCACTTGAAAAAGGAGATTTTGCACCTTTTACACTGAGCAATCCATGCAGTGACAAACCCTACAATTACAGGAGCAAAATAATTATTCTTGATCTTAATTGTGAGTCTCCCACTAATTTTAGTAAGCATGATTCAGGAGAGAGAGGAGAATGGAATTCTAAATACAGATTGTAATGCACAAAACAGGATTAGATCTCCCTTACTGCATGAATTGGACACCTGAGAAATCCTGGTTTATTTCAGACATTGCAGTAGAGTACCTTTTTAGCAGATGTAAAGATTCAAGAAACCCCCAGCTCTGAAATCTCTCTGGCAGCAGCTACACACTGCTTGCAACTATGAATCAGTGTAGGTGACACAGTAACAACTTAAATTACTGAGGTAGCATAACGCAAGATACTTCAGTAAGAAAGCTGATCATTATGGCAGACTACTACACTTCCACACTGCTTGTAGAAGTTTCCACCTACTTATATGGTGTTTAAAAAAAGAAAGAAAAGATGGTGATCAGCTAATTTAATGTAACGTGCTATGCCAGTGGCGAATTCTGTCCAGGCTGCTAGAACCCAAGAGGACAGTATACTTCCCTGCCTAGTGTTTTGTCCCTGAAGAGATGGGAGCTACGTACCTGCTGCTGAGGACCTAACTGAAAAGCTAAAGGCAGAGGAAGCCGTTCCTCAGCTCAGGTGAGAGTCACAGCTGACTGCATTAGTTTGGTTTGCAGGGCTTCAGCTTCGAACAGCACCAAATCCTTGCTCAAACACAGCTCTGAGCACCACCCAGCTCTGCAGCACAAAGCACTTCAGACCTCTGCCAGCACAGGCCAGGATCGTGAGTCAGTCGGCCAGCTCAGAACATGAGAATGCCTCTGACCAGTCTGTTTCGGCGATTAATTTGTATGGATATGCTTTCTTAAGGTAGCAGATCCAAAAGGGGGGCCCAACCAACTTATCAAGTGAAGCAGATGAACTCTGCTCTGGTTGTTAAGCTTTACAGGTGCATCAGATCTGTTTTTCTGCCCGTGCTGCATTTCAGAGACTGAAATGCTCAATAGCCCTGCTTTTTATGCCAGATTGCTGTGACAATACTTCTTTGGTTGCGGTTTCATTCTTATATGTGCACCATATTCTATCTGCACATTCTGCAAGAAGTTGGGCAGTTTTTTCAGCACGCTGTTTCTTTCCCCCTTATCTCACCACTGTAATACCTTTTTTATCTCATCATTGCAATACCGTATCCATGTGTCCACACTACTTCAGAAAGACAAAGAACGCCGTTCTTGTGGCTTATCAAGCGAAGCAAGGGCACCACCGCTAGGTAGCACAAGCCTATTACACAGAAGTATTGCTGTTGCCCTTCATGCCAATTGAGGCTGTGGCTGTGGTACAGCAAACTTGTGACAAAAGATCTGATTACACCACAGAAACAAGCAAGCTGCTGTTGGCAAATGTAGGTATTTTGAGCATTCCAATGCTTTTACTAAGTACTTCAGCCACTCCAGCACAACAAATGGATTTTACCAGTAAATATTACCAAGAACTGAAAAGATGTACCAGTTCTCTCTGCTGCTTCACCTCAAAGGCCCAAAGCTGCTTTATACTTCTAGGACTGCCAACATAATCAATTCCACCACTTCATAACAGGCCAGTGGAGGTGCATCACAGTATGTAATGAACAAATCTTGCGTATTGCAACATCTCTTTAGTTGTGGAGACACTAACACCAGAAACAGAGAGCAAGAATCCATTTATAAAGATATGCCAGACCTATGCTTTTGTAGCAAGAAGCCTCAAAATCTACTACACTAGCAGTGAAGCAAAAATGTTAAAAAGCGTACAGCTAATAGAACCATTATTGCCCTGAACTTCTGAAAACTGAGTGAGACTGATTTCTTCAGAAACTTTTCACATAACTTTGGGTTTCTTAATATACCCCTTAGGCTGATTTATTTACTGCTTTACCATCTATAGTTCTGCATAAAGATTAACACGGGGGCTGGGGAGGGTGGGAGGTTGGGGGGAATCCTTCTATTGCATGTTTGTAGGCCAGGTTCCAATAGCACTTGAAATGGTCACTTCCTTTCCTGACCCAGCTCAAGAGAAGAGAGAAATTTGACTTGGGGCATGAAGGAGGGGAAGCAAAATGAAGATAAAATTAGGAAATGTCAACAGCAATAGATGCCAGGATGCTTTCTGGTTTAAGTAGTTCCTTCCACTAAGGAAAACCCACTCCCACTTCACAAAAGAAAACCCCCACTATCAGGAGACCTTGTTCACACTTTCCTCAATCTATAACACTTCAGAGTAGGCAGTTGTGGATAAAACTGCTTATCTCTTCCGTTAAAACCTTACATTAATTACACAAGAAAAGAAAGATCAGGAGACTCAAAATTGTTAGTTTATTTTAATTATTATCCTGCACAGTCACTTCAGAAAAAGGGAAAGCATTTTCCAAATAAATTTTTCCTTTCAAAAACTCAACTGCATCTTCATTTGTCATTTCCTGAAACTTCTTGTTCAGGATCTGGAAGAAAGGAAAAGGAAAGGGTACATTAGTTCTATTGTCTTTAGCAAACTACCCTGTGCCATAAACCAAGTGCTCAGTGATGGCAAAGCGATAGGGAGTCACCGTGTTTTGAAAACAAGTTGACTTGAATCATTCATTTTATAAAAAGCGTGGAAATAAGCCGGTCACATAGGGTTTTAGGTACAAACCAACTCAGTGGCTTGGGTTGTTTGGGGTTTTTTTTTTCCTGAACTATATTTATTTTGCTGGTAATGACAAGTGGTAGCTTATCTTTTAGAGTTCCTCCGTCCTTTCTCCCTAGTGACACCACCACTAAGTATAGACTATATACAATTACCACTCTGGAGAAGGCTCACCGTTCCATACAAGGCCTGATCTACCAAACAAATGTACTCATCACTATGCTGATAACGGGACCAAAACAGAGAGAGTAACAGGACTCTTCTTACCAGAATCACATCGTAGCCCAGTTTATTTAGATGCCGCTTCTTCATCGCTAGCTTCCCTTGGGGATGTGTCGTACCCACACAGAATGCAGACAGAGGAACAAAGAGAAAAGCCAACCTACAACCAAAAAGAGTAAGAAAGATGTTGTACAAATGCAGAATAAGCATTTTTAAGACAGTGATTCAATGACATCCTTTAACACTGCAGAACAGGTAGGCAAAGATGATCAGGACTGCACAAATTTCATTATCCTTTTCCTTCTCCAGTCTTCAGTAATTTAGACTCTCTCTTCTTCCATGAGCTTCACACAAGTAACAGCATCTACTCAAATACCTACAGCAGAATTAATTCCTTAGATCTCCACTTCTCCCACAACGAGAAGGAAATAGATCATTCAAAATTTCACATTATTTTGACAGCTTCTGCATTTATTTTGATCGTTTGCTAATACTCAGAATCAGTTACTTCCTGCCACAAAAACTTGCTTGGAAAGGTGAGGAAAGCTAAACGTCCTGGAAGCCTAATAGCGAATTTCTGTTACACATTTCAAAAGCTCTCCTTTTCCCAAAAGCTACACAAAATACATTGCTGTGCAGTGATCCAGCACACAAATGTTAAGTATTACCCAATTCTACTTAAGCATTACTTAAATGATATACGTCCCATTTCTGTTATTGAGAGGTCATTCTTCTACACCAGATTAAATTAACCACCTAAAATGTGGATATGATGATCTTTTTTATTCATATTATATTTCAGCAGCTGGATTAATTGCCATAACATACCATTGAGATGCACATTTTAGAGAATAACTGAAAGTTTAACTGGACACACAAATACTTGAAATTTTAAAACCATAAGGTAGCAGTTTTTTTGAAAGGATTTAAGTCATACTTCAAAACCTGTATCCACTGCAAGAGCATCAGATTACTGTGATGTCTCCTGCCTCTCTCTCTGAAATGTTAAGTTTTAGCCTCTGTTAGAAGAAGGTAGTGAGCTGGATGAACTGTTGCTCTGAACTGTCACGGCAATTTTTGTATATTTCAGTAAGTACAAATAACAAGTTATTTACTTTGCTTCTGCAAATCAGTGAACCAAAGAAGTAACTGGATGGAATACACAGAAATAAAACTACCCTGCTAGAAAAAATATGCAGTCAAAAAAGACACCTTTGAACACTTGAGTCAGCATGATCATCTGTTGCAGCTATCGGGAGCACTTTCTTTCTGCCTGAATCCATTCTGATTTCAAAATCTGAAAACAAAACAACAAAACATTTAACACTGCAAGAGGTTACAATTAATGTTCTCATTTGAACATTAATTGTTCAAATCGGTTTCAAATGAACAGCTTATGGGAAAAAGTTAACAGACACTGTCACTGCTCTGCTTCTAATTGCTGTTCTCTAATAATTTACATATTACTGATGGCTTTTCCCTCCCTGCAACCAATATAAACAGCTTTAGCTTGCACATCTCCAGAAAAAAAAATTTGGTTTTGAAACTGTAGATATGCCTTTATGGGAGTGAAATCATAGTTTAAAGAAACTAGTCTTGATTGCTGTCTGTCACACCTACTCAGATTTTCCTGTAATCGGATTCCTCATTCCAAATATTCAGGAAGAAAATTGTTACAAATACAGAAAAATTGGTAAGCTGGGTGGCTGGCAAAAAAATAAGCAATATCAAAATATGAAAGAAACCAAATGTTATTAAATGATCACCTGTCAAAGAAAGTCATATCCCATTTCATAAGTAGAACCCAAATCTTAGCCAAAGCTTCGTAGAAGAAACAAATCAGGGAACAAAAGAAGGCTGCTGTTTGGCTTTGTTTCTAATGTGATTTAGTACTAACATGTCAACTCTCTAGAACAGTTAGCCATACTGGATCTATGTACAATTAACGTCTGCTCACTGATGCTCAACAACAAGTTCAAAGCAGTTCTGTAAGTAAGAGCAATCATGAAGTTTCAGTAAATTGACTTAAATACTTTAACAGAAGCATCCTAGAAAGTAGATTCACTAATCAAGGACATAAGACTGTGTCTTCAAATTGTTACACATTTAATCACTTGCACCCTATGCCAATTTGCTACCATGTTATTATTTTGGGGATTATAAATCTACATTAATAAGAATATGACAGTAATTGGCTTCATACCAATATGATATTTATATGGCAGCTGAACATTTTGCCGAAACATGGTCTCATCTCCCAGAAGTTCTATCAGTGCCTCCCGAGCCTTTCTGAGATTAGGAGATACTAATGAGGAGAAATTCTCAGTCAGCACAAACGCAGGCTTTGTGAAGGAAGGGCTATCGAGTTCCATACATGTTTTCACACAGCGAAGCATCACTTCCTTTTGTTCTTTGTAAAGATCATCTGAAAAAGGATACAAAAAACATTACATCCAATGTACCATCCCACAGAATTTTTCGTTTCATTATCATTTATAGTCTGTTCTGGCAGAGCAAATTTATTTCAATATAGGAATCAAGACCCAATTGTTTTCTCACTGAACATTATTGAGTATCTTCAATATAATATATTGTTAAATATACACCATCAATTCACTAATTATAACATTAAAGGCTACAGCTGGTAACTGCCCATTTATCCAATCTTTCCCCTCCACTGTACACAGCTCTGTGCATGCTATCAGTTATTACAAGAGACTTAAGGAGAACACGGAATTAGAGAGCATGCACAAAAACCATTTATAAAATCCAGACAACTAGAAGGTTATTTATAAAACAAAGAAGGGATATCAGACTTGGCCATAATTTTGAAACTGTAAGAGTACTAAGTTGCACAAACTCTAAACAGTTACAGCTTTACAGCTTTCAGGTTCAGTCACATCAGGCTCAACAGCAAGACACAGTGGTTTACTCTACACTGAATTTCTACTCCGTTGAACTACTCTACCAGCTGTAGAGAGTTGTAATGTGGAAACCAAATTCTAATACAAACCATTCCAAGTTCCTTATTATAACTCGGAGCAGTCAAAAAAACTTTTACTCACGATTCCAGGTACTAAAGTTGGTTTACAAAGGTTAAGACTTCCTGTCTTTTTAAAAATGCCTGAACATCTGCCCAAGATAGAACCCCTGGCTCTTACACATTTCTACCATTTCCACCAATCTCATATTCACCTCTCTCCATGTGCACACCTACTATTAAACTATTGCCACTACGGGGCCCAAGACAATAAGCCTGATGCCCTGGTGCGGAAACAGATCGCTTAGAGCACCATCACTACGTTAGCTTTATCTTGAGGACTTCAAATTCAACATTAATCATGTTTGCCCTCTTTAATGTCTAAATTTTTAACATAATTACAACAGATTATGTACGGAGGCAGACTATTCTTTTTAGAACAAGAATATGACAAAGTAAGGCCTGACCTGACAGTAGAAGTTCACCCCTGCTGTCCTTTTGCAGCAGCTCATCAAGTGCACGATGAGGAAGATATCCTAATACACCAAGTAAATACACTGCCTTCAGCAGTTCTGTGTTGGAAATCTGAGGGAGGTACTTATTCAAGCAGCTATGAAGAGTCTCAAAAAACCTTTTCCAAAAGCAGAAGAAAAGTGTCTAAATACACAAAGAAGGCTATGTAAAATACAGATTTCAAACAAAAATACAAGTTAGAAATCTTTATTATCTCATAAAGTCATATCTTGCGTAATCTAACATTAGCTTTTGATTCTTCCTTGAGGATACAGCTAACTATTAACAGATCTAGTAGCCTGGTCAGTCTAGAACCAGGGTCTCTGTTTTCAATTACAGAGAAAAAATCCTATGTAGAAAAAAATGTGAAAAGACACAGCAAATTTACCTTACAGATTAATAAAACAGGATTATGAACTCTTTCACAACTAAAATAAAATACTAGTTGCCATGCATTACTCTATAAAGACTATATAACATCAGGCATTCTGGATAAAAACCTACAGATGCTTTTGGCCTCTGGGAACATAATTGAGTCGTGAATACACTCGGAGAACAATCAAAAGGTTTTTCAAGTTGAGAAATTCAGGGTCTTCTGTCACCTTCTCAGCAAAAACTTCCATCAGCTCTGTAGGCTGAAAGCCAAGTGTTTCGAAGGCAGAAAGAAAATGGATAAACTAAAAGAAAAGACAGTTTTATAAGGTCAGGAAAGCCAGTACAGTGAATCCTACCTGTTGATTTCATAAAAGGTATTTTTAATGAAAGCAACTTTTTCAAACCGTTAACACCCCTTTTATTTCTTAATTCATCCATGAATAGAAGAACGTTTCAAAAATTTAATGGTATCAACTTCACCAGATTGATATTCCTAAAAAATCAAAGAAAGGTAAGATCGAAAGTCCAGATATTCTACTAGTACCACTATAAGTTATATGGTCACAAACTCACCTGTCTTTTGTCCCAAAGGCAGGCAGTAGAATTAACATAGTCTGCTAATACCGAGAACAGTTTTACATTACGGTACTGGAGATGGTAACAAGCTTCCAGAATGAGAATCAACTGCCGAAATGGAGCATCGTGGACATTCTCTGTAACAGAAGAACAAAAGAGGACAAAGATACAAAGCAAGGTGAGCTGTAGGTTGGAGACACTGTGGGAACAGTGTGGTTAAAGGATGGAGGAGGGGAAAAAAAGATAAGGACAGACTGAGACTAGCTAGGCAAACTGAGCTAAAGCACAAGAAGAAACTGAGAGGCAGAAGAACTGTCAGGATCAATCTGGAAGGGATACATCAGCAAAGGGGGACAAATTAACAAAAGAAGCAAGAAGATTGTGTTTCCAGCACACCTTCTGTTCCAGGATTCTTGATTTTGAGCACCTCCCTGCACTTGGTAGAGAAACCCTCAGGCTAGCACCTTTAGTACTAGTTGAGCCTTTGGGCTGTCTACTACGTCAGCTGAGGGAGTAACAAAGAGGTGGATCTAAAGCTGCTGACTAATTAGATAGTAGTACATGACGAAGTTTGCATTTTTTCCCATTTGGTTTTACAAAATGGCAAGAAACCACAAATACGAATCTATGTCTAAAAAGCACTAAAGGCTGTCCAGCACTAAAGCATTAGTGTATGCTAAACTGGAAAACACAGAACTAAAACATAACCTCCTGGCACATGAGCGTGCTGACACCAATTCAGTGCCAGATGACAACAGACTTGTGCACAAGACTACTGCTTCATTTGCCACACAATTTGGACCTACTTTAAAGGTATGGAGCGAGGTGAAAGCATTAGCATTCATTTAATTTTTTTCTGGTCTGCAGCATGAGGTCAGTTATTAAGCAGCATTCAATTATTAAATCCAGTTAATCAGGGAAACTCTATGTTCCCTTTAGTTTACCAACTAAGCCACCCATCCATCCTGTAAGATGTCCACTTCCAATTCAGATTTGTTTTAAAAGTTTATATGAAATCTATTTTTTTCTTTCTAGAATTCAATTCTTTTTCCTAAATTCTGCATACAGCAAAGTGCAAACACAAATATGTAATTCAGGTAAATATTAAGAAGTGCAGAGACAACAAGAGCTATCTGCTTTTATTACTGATCAGTAATTTTCTGTCTTGCTGCTTGTCAAATGGCTCCACATTACTATAATATCCTGCAAAACAAAGATGTTTCCTGAGTTTTAAAGGAAATCAGAAAAGGGAGATGAGACAATAATTAGGAAGAATTTGGTATAAGGAAGGGAAATTTAATAAACATTTTTTTCTTACCCTGGATCTTTTTACTGCAGGCATTCAGGATTGGAATGGAACAATAATTCATTGCAACAAGTGCCAAAAACACACGCAGAGCATTCGGGAAAGTCAGATGGTCTATCTCTTTCAAAACTGCCATCTAAAGTGAATTAGAGTTTATTAAACCCTTCAGGTATATTATCACTGCTTTCTGGTGAAGGTATTCTCACCAAAACTTTCCTAAATTCTTTAGCCTGTTCAGGCTTAGATGAAAGAAAAAGAAGCAACAAACGGCAAAAGCATAAAGTAACTACTCTCAGTTTCTTAATACACAATTATAGCAGACCAAGTGTTGTAGAGTTGTGTTACTATGCAAGTTCCCAACCATTTGCCTCTTGATGGTTTTTTTTTAAAGAAAGAAGTCTCAGTAAAGCTCATTTCCAAATACAGTGAATATGTATCTTTCACCAACTCTTACAAAAGTAGCAGAAATATAACTGGCACTGTTGACTTAATTAACAGTACTCCAGTTACTGGTTTGGATGCGCATGAAAGCTGTAAGCCTTCACAGTGATCCAGCAGCACACCAAATGGCATACCTTTAACATAAACATCCAGCTGAGGCATAGAAGGTCAGCTCTGATGCCACAAGAGAGACTTAATTTATCGAAGGAGTAATTAGATTGATATAAGTGACAGTAAAAGTGAGACTACAAAGTATATTGACTGTTAAAATACAACATTCTTACTGCATGCATATCAAAGGTTAAATACAAAACGCATCTACAATAGAAAGTGTGCAGTATTAAAGCATCCTGTAGGCTCAGGAAATTAAAAGCTCTCTTCAGCTAACAAGTGGAAAGGTTACTTTCAGTTCCATATTCCGCCACATCTTTGGCCAGTTTCTTCTCACTGTCTTGTAAAAAGTGGTACCTTGTCCAAGGTTTTATGATTTACTCGTATCTAACACATTGCATGAGTCCCCTGCACTGCTCAATTCTTGCCCAGTTTCCCAGCAGTGGTATCTTCCCTCACTTTTTCATGAATAATATTACAAACTCTGACCTCAGAGCCCTTCAGCTATGTGATGAAAACACTCGCAGGCTTTAAATCAGAGGACGAAACACAGTACGCCCTGCCATAAAAACTACAGCCTGCTCCCAACCACTGTATTTCCCAGAAGGAATTTCAGATACAGAGAAAGATATGGCCATGAGCTAGGTGAGTTCTCCTGGCAACTCACTCCCATCAGTCCTCAAGCCCCATCACAGACTAGTTTTCTGTATTCTGGTCTTTCAGCCACAAGCTGGGCAAGGGAATCGGGGAACAGCCTGTAAGTGCTTCTGTGAAATACCATACGGCCAACACAAACAAGAGGTGAGGGCGCTGCTATTTACTGCCTCAATTTCTTTTGTACTGTCTCCACTGCTTTCTGCCCCCTTTTATGGTGGGATATTCCCAGTCTCCAAATTTAAGTTCCTCCTGCAGATATAGCTGGGCTACAATTCATATGCAAATACTGTTAACCTTTCTATTATATTTTCTTATTGACTGTCTGGAAAGAACCATACACAATTTATAAACAATGCAAGAGCACAAGCTTTGTGGAAGTGAAAATGAGCCTCCAACTAAATTTACCTCTAATTTCTTTTTCAGAAAGACTGGAGCATCTTTTCCCAGGCATTTCATCAGATTTTGTAGTATAAAAATGTCTCTGATACTTGGAATGCGCTGCTCCATTAGCAATCTGATGAAGAAATACAGACAAGGCCTTCAGCTGTAGAGAGTAACCGTTTAATAGAGCCTTCCTCATTTCAGCAGAAACAGGCAGGTACCCCATTCCTCCTCACTGATATACTCTCAAGTTAAAGCTGCAATTCCCTGCTCCTCTCCCACCTCCTTTTTTGCGAGGCTGGCATAACTCTACACCATGCAGCTGCAGCACAGATATTTTCCCACATGGAAATAATTATATATGCTTTCTCACTGTTATCCTGATAGATGAGTGTTGTCGCTGACATGTTAACAGCAGGGGCACCTGCCCGGACTGCACATGTGACAGTGCAGACGTGAGTGCTGTTAAGCATCAACCAATTAACACTCATCTGAAGAAAGAAAAAAAAAAAAAATTGCACGTATTTGTCGTGGAATCATTTATGTGCAGGCAAGTTCTGAAACAGCCAGGAGACTCAGGGACAGACACGGACAACAACAACTTGGTGCAAGTGAGGAAAAAAACCAAACAAGCAGTGCTGTAGGCTGCAGGAAGAGAAGAGGACATCGTAACACAGAGGAATCGTAAGCACTAGATGAAGGAGTTCTGCTTTCCCAGCACCCCCTTTTCTGGCTGAGAGGGACGTATTGTAATTGTTACGTCTGAATTGCCCTTAAATATACCCGCACAGCTACAAAACATGAAGCATCACTGTCTAAGGCAGTGTACTGCTCTGGAATCCCTCCCTGCACATGTGGCTTCCTGCAAACGGGCAGGAACTCCAGGCATCAAGTCAGATAAAGAGCTGTAGATGGATCTCCTGCTTTCTACTGACTTACAAGAACTGTGCACCTGAGCTTCCAGGAGAACCTGGTTTTTGTGTATCACTAACACATCCACCTTCTCAAAGCAGGACCAAAAGTACTACTCCATGGCAAGTTTTGTGACAGCCCCAGTAAAAACAATCTCATGGGAGTGAGCAGATTGGTTACCCGCATAAATCTCATTGCCCCAGAAAACAAGCACTACAGCCAAAGAAGTTATTTTGATAATGCAGCAGACTGAAGGCCTTGCTGGATGCACAGATAAAGTCTAAGCTTGTTTTCATTTTAATTTTTACTTACTAAATTAAAAGAAAATATTTCCTGGCTGTTAAACAGCATTTTTCTTCACGACAAATCAAAATACTTCACAAAGTAAGCCAGTCTCATTACCTCCTTTCTACACACGGGTAAAACAGAGGCATAGATATGCGAAGTGACTTGATCAACATCGCAAAATAAGCACAGTGACGGAGCTGCAGTCAGACTACGGATCCCCTGCAGAGCAGTCTAGCACCCTATGCCATCGGAAGGGTTTCTGCTTGAAAGTGCAAAGGCACTGCCAAAGATCACTGCCTTGTACAGCTGTTCTCTCACGTGATCATCTAAGTCCTAAATCCACAACATGCCTTTTACATGCAGACCTTCCCACCATGATTTCTAAAAGACATATATTCAAACAACTTTTAAATATGAATGACATGTGAAAGATGTATTTTTTCTCACTGTAATCCAGCTTGCAGAGCGCACACATTCTTGTCTTTATCCAGCCCTGCTAAAGTAGTTGCCAAAACTGAGATGCATCGGTTATCAAGTTGATTGAGCTTCTCCTGTTAAAAGAGTTTTCACAATGTCAGATACTTCAGACCAGTAAAAGTTTCAGAAAAGCAAAGCTGACCACTCTCAGTCTGTACCTGCCGCCTTCTCTTTCCCCCCAGCAGTCAATTCACAAGCTTTAATTTTGCAGCAACCTACAAGATCTCACATTAGTCAAATTCAGTTGTTTTAAAGAGGGTAACGATTTTTGAGACTTAGCCTGTCTGTTAAATCCGTCTGAAATCACGCAGTGGTTTCAAAAATGAAGCAAATTAGAAATACACACAAATTAACGATGGGGGCCCTGTTTCCATGGAACATCAGACTAAAACAGGGATGTAACCCAACTCTCTCTGATGTTGCATAGCCTCCCAAGAATTAACCCCGGAGTTTCAGCCCAGGGATTTTCATACTTACCTGGCACACCCTCACCAAAGTCTGGACTAGAAGAGTGTTCTGAGGAACGCCTAGGTTCACCACGGCGTGCAGACTGAACACCAGGTCGCCCCGCGTCATCCTTCGGGAGTCCCGCAGCAGCTGTTGACAAAGCTTGACAAAAGCTGGGTGCTCAAAGATCAGCTGCTTCTCGTAACGCTGCTGGTCTTCGGACAGGTTTTTGAAGAGCCTCCACACTGTGGTTAAACAGTTTGTGAAGTGCTTAGTGGAAACAGCAGACTCTGAAGCCAAGTCCAGTGCATCGCAAGGACAGGTACATTTCTGGAGACAATTAAAGAACGGTTCGCTATGATCCATCACCTGCTTCATTTTGAAGCCCCTGGAATCATCCAGCTTTTCAAGTTCCAAGGAGCTATGGGGAGCCTGCTCGCTCACCAAAGCCTCTGTACTGTTCTCTGGTTGCATTTTAGCACCTGTGCTAAAAACATCTGTCTTCTGAGATACAAATCGAAGAGATGATCCATGCAGAGAAGGAAGAATATTCAAAAACAATTTCCTGAAGTTCACATTTTCCAGGGGATCCCTGTATCTGCCAATCCATAGAATGTGTTTTCTCATTGTAGCTGAAGATTTGGGAGTGAGGATAGAATTGCATCCACGCATACATCTGACAGTATTTAACAAATAACTTATTTTATTATTCATTTTTGCTAATGTCTCATGCATAGATTTGAAATGCCAACTCAAAGTAAGGAGTCCAATGAAATTCTACTGGTGGAAATAGTCCTGTAGAAACTGCATTAACATCACTTATCTGTAAAGACAATTGAAAACTACGTATTAGTTACCAGACCTTCAGTTCCTAAAGTAAAATGCCAAATCCACGCACATCATTTACAAGAGAAAAGATCTGGAAAAAGATCCCTGCAACTGATTTGCGGACGGCCTTTCACCGGGTCGCTTACGTTTCAGGCCAACCTCTCGGCACAGGGGTAACTCATCCTGCGCGTCCCCTCTTTTCGCTGTTGCTGTTTTAACCAAGAACTATGCCGGGAGGGAGAGCCCCTTCCCACCTGAAGTTTCTCCAGGCAGACCCGTCTCCCGGCAGGG